TAAATCTTTTTTTATATGTATATTTTTTTTCTTTTTTTTATTACATTATATTATTATTATTATTATATATTCCAAACTGTTTATTTGTAATTGTACATTTTAATCATACATGCAAACATACAGAGTGTGTGGAAAGTATTCAGACCTCCTTAAATTGTTCACTCAGTTATTTTGCAAAAATAATCTAAGTTCATCGTTTCCCTCCTTAATGTCCACACAGCTGACAGAAAAACACAGAACTCTTGACATTTTTGCAGATTTATTACAAAAGAAACACAGAAATAATCACATCGTCTTAAGTATTCAGACCCTTTGCTTTCCGTTTGTGTAAGGTGCAATAGCTTTGTACACCTGGATTTGGGGATCCTCTGCAATCCCTCCCGCAGATCCTCTCCAGTTCTGTCAGGTTGGATGGTAAATGATAGTGGACAGCCATTTTACAGGTCTCTCCAGAAACGCTCAACTGGGTTTAAGTCAGGGCTTTGGCTGGGCCATTTAAGAACAGTCACAGAGTTTTGAAGCCACTTCTTTGTTATTTTAGCTGTGTGCTTAAGGTCATTGTCTTGTTGGAAGGTAAATCCTTAGCCAATTTCGAGGTCCCAAGCAGGGGTGTAGTCCTAATAAATAAATAAATAAATAAATAAATAAATAAAACATAAAAATAAAATAAAGAAAAAAGGTGGTGTACTATTACCCACCCAACCCAAATTTTAAATTAAAGTAGTCAAAGAAACAATGCAAGTAGATGTTTCTTTGACTCATTACCAATATGGATGGATGGATAAATCCACTGTATTGCATTAATATTTCAGTTCTGAATGAGCCAAATATGCCCAACACACCTGTTTACTGTAGTACAAATCACTTTATATGCAATTCTGTATTAAATAAAAAATACATACACCTTCTTACCCACTTAAATACGATTATCTTGAAAATGGGAGTTATTATTAAATGAATAGAAATGATCTGATGACTAATTCATGATTATTATTATTGAAATGGGAGATCCATGAGAAGATTACGAAGTAAATCTTATCTCAGATATTAAATATTATATATAAATGTACGATTATTGTGTTTTATGATGTGCACAATTATGAATTTGCCACAAATGTTTATAATTATGGCGACATGGTGGTGCAGTGGTTAGCACTATTGCCTCACAGCAAGAAGGTCGCTGGTTCGAGCCTCGGTTGGGTCAGTTGGCATTTCTGTGTGGAGTTTCAACCGAAAAGTTGGCGGTTCATTCCACTGTGGCAAATCCAGATAAATAAAAGGACTAATTTGAAAAGAAAATGAATGAATGTTTATAATTATGTAAAAATATATAGCATTTAATATTCTGAAAGTTCACTTGAATGTACCCAAACCTTTCACTAAAGTTGTAATAAAATGAAAATGTATTGAAAAATATTAATATATTAGTTTTAAAACATCATCCACTATCAATATTGATGAATGTATCATCAATTAATATATTATTAAATATCAAGCTCCACATTCAGCACACATTACACACGTTCAGTCAGTTGTGTGTGCGCTGCCCTCTAGTGACAGCTTCCTCATACTGCACATTCAAAACATCAACAACACCAGACAGCAGTGCACATTTGACAGATGTAGTTTATTTCACTCTGCATCTGACATCTGATAAGTCCTACAGTACAGAGGGGAGGTGTGTGTACAGCAAACTCCAAGAGCTTCAACCAGAAAATAAGAAACAAACAAGCCTTATATATATATATATAAAAGAGGTCGAACACAAATAGACAGAGACGCCGGTGCAAATATTGTACCATTCCAGTGTAAATGATCAGTGTTGAAAGTTCCATTGGACACACACACATTCCCAACACACACACACACAGAGGTCTAGCTTTGGTCAACAAACACTGGAAAGAGTTGACATCAATATTAAGAAATAATTTAAGAGCATTCGGGTTCAGTCCAGTCAACATGGCGCTCACACACACACACACACACACACACACACTCGCACACACACACACACACACACACACACACACACTCGCACACACACGTGCTTGATGCCCAAAGGCCAGCTTTAGGACTGTGCCAGATTTGTGAACCAACACTTGTTGAGCTCCAGCATCTCTCGTTTATTGGTCAGCAACAGCCAATGGGGCACTTGAAGACTGCAGAGGAGCGAACACACAGCTGAGGGTCTCCTCTCAGTCTCGGATTCACATTAGTGGAGGAGCTTCAAACTCTTCACTGGAGACCGTCCTCTAAACAGCCTTTCACCTGCCAGATCTTCACTGTCCGGTCACTGGAGGACGGACAAAACAAACAAATACAAAGCATCGGAGTTACATACCAAACTGCTTGCATAGTTTTACTTTGGTATTTTATAATATTACTATAACATAATATTATTAATAATAATAATAGCAAATATAATTACATCATTATTATAATTATTATTATTATTATTAAACATTCATTCATTTTCTTGTCGGCTTAGTCCCTTTATAAATCTGGGATCGCCACAGCGGAATGAACCGCCAATTTATCCAGCACATGTTTTACGCAGCGGATGCCCTTCCAGCCGCAACCCATCACTTGGAAACATCCATACAATCTCATTCACACATATACACTATTTAGACCCATGCAAACACGGGGAGAACATGCAAACTCCACACAGAAACAGCAATTGACTCAGCCGAGGCTTGAGCCAGTGACCATCTCGCTGTGAGGCAAACATGCTACCTACTGCACCACCATGCAGCCATTATTATATATAATAATAATAATAATTATTATTATTATTATTTTGCTATTTGTAGTAGTAGTATTTATTATTATTATTTAATTTTTTGTTATTATTATTATTTTATTTTTATTATTATTATTATTAATTATATTATTATTATCAATATTTAATATTATTATTATTATTATTATTATTATTATTATTATTATCGTTATTATTATATTATTATTATTATTATTATTATTATTATTAGTGGTAGTAGTAGTAGTAGCATTATTTAGTATTATTATTTAGAATTATTTTTAAATTTTTTACCAAAACTATTATTATTATTATTATTATTTAATATCATTAATTATTATTAATAATAATATTATTGATTATTATTATTATTAAATTTATTGTTATTATTATTTTTTCTTTTTATTATTATTATTATTATTATTAATTATTATTATTATTATTATTATTATCAATATTTAATATTATTATTTTTTATTATATTATCATTATTATTTATTATTATTATTATTATTATTATTATTTACTATTATTATTTAGAATATTTTTTTTTACCAAAACTATTATTATTATTATTATTATTATTATTATTATTATTATTATATTATTATCATCATCATTATTTATTTATTTATTTATTTATTTATTATTATTTAATATCATTAATTATTATTAATAATAATATTATTGATTATTATTATTATTGTTGTTGCCATTATCATCATTATTTATTTAATAATAATAATTATTTTTTTTTTTATTATGAATTATTGTAATTATTATTTCTACTAATTGAAATACTAATAAAAATGATAAAAATTATGAACAAGAACAATAAAATAAACAATAAATATGAAAATAAAAACAATGATAATAATAAAGTCATTAATAATAATAATAATAATAATAATAACAATAATATAATAATAATAATAATAATAATAATAAATTAATAATAATAACAATTCTAACAAAAAATAATGACATTATTATTATTATTATCATTATTATTATTAATAATAATATTATTAATGGAAATTTAAAACTGCCTTTATTTTAGCTGTTATAAAACAAATACGACTTTCACCAGAAAAAAAAAAGGAAATACTGTGAAAAAATCTTAACACTATTAAACATAATTTGGGAAATATTTGAAGAAAAAAAAATTACAGGAGGGTGAATAATTTTGACCTCAACTGTAAATATACAATTGATGACAGAATTATTAGCCCCCCTTTGATTTTTCTTCATTTTTTTTTATTATTTCCCAAATGATGTTTAGCAGATTCAGGAAATGTTCACAGTGTGTCTGATAATATTTTGTCTTCTGGAGAAAGTCTTATTTGTTTTATTTCAGCTAGAATAAAAGCAGTTTTTAATTTTTTAAACACCATTTTAAGGTCAATATTATTAGCCCCATTAAGCTATATATTTCCGATAGTCTACAGAACAAACCATCATTATACAATAACTTGCCTAATTACCCTAACCTGCCTAGTTACCCTAATTAACCTAGTTAAGCCTTTAAATGTCACTTTAAGCTGTATAGAAGTGTCTTGAAAAATATCTAGTCTAATATTATTTACTGTCATCATGGCAAAGAGAAAATAAATCAGTTATTAGAGTTATTAGTTATTAAAACTATTATGATTAGAAATGTGCTGAAGAAATCAGCTCTCATTAAACAGAAAATGAGGAAAAAATAACTCTGACTTCAACTGTGTGTATATATATAGTGTTGATAAGCAGTTGCAAAGGTGAACTGTGTGGTGTTGCTATGCAGTTTTATGTAGCTTTGAAACTCTCGATTAGGTAACTAGGCAATGATATTTGGTTGGAATGGTGTTGCCAGGGTGTTAGTACATTTGTTCCGAGTAGTTGCCAAGGTGTTGCTAGGGTGTTCTGGTGGATGTAGATCATTGTTGTACCTTGGTAGTTAACCATTTATTGATAATTTGTTGCCAGGGGTTCCCACGGTGTTGCTAAGGTAGTAACTTGCCCGAGTAGTTATTTAGCAAATTGATTTTAGCACAGGGTAGCTAAAGTTTAAGGCATTTTGTTAGCATATTGTGGTATTGACTGCCTAAATACTTGCTTGGGGGTTATTAAAGTGTTGCTATGTAGTTGCAAAGGTGATCTAAGTAGTTGGCAGGGTGTTGCTACACAGTGGCTAGGGTGTAATGGTGGTCTAAACACACTGTGCAGGATGAGTTATGTACTTTAAATACTTCCTTCAGCATCTGAAGCTGTAGGCTAACAGTACTTGTACAGCACGCTGTGTGTGTGTTGATGTGTAAATGGCCGTCACTCACTCTGAGGCAGTAAAGAGCTGACTGCTGTTGGTGCAGACGTCATTGACGGAGCTTTCGTGACCTCTTACTTCTCCCAGAGCTCTGAGCGTGTGCGTGTGCCAGAATTTGAGCAGTCCGCCTTTGCAGCCGGTCACCACCGCACTGGAGCCAGGAACCACGGCCAGGGAGCTCAGCGGGTCACAGTGAGCCCTCTCCACCTGCTGCGAGATCAACAAACAGCCACACAAATCAGCTCGTGAGGGATTTACTACGGTCAGTGGATGCGTCGGACAAACTAAAGTCAACTTCGTGCAAAATCTCAGCAAGCTGACCCGTACTGTCATTCAGTAACGCCTTAAGGAAACGCTGCTATGCTAATATGCTAATACTTAGTGATTAGCACTGTCCTACATTTTACATACAGTTTTGTTCATTAAAAGTTGGCTTTCCCTGCTGAAAAATCCAGCTAAATCCAGCCCTAGGCTGGTTGGCTGGTTTTAGCTGGATTTTTCAGCAGGGTTAGCATATATGTAGCTAAGCTAACAGCATGACACATTAGACACACTAAGAATTGAGCCTAAAACTGTAGCATGTTATGCTAGGCGACCATTACTAATTTCTATATGGGCTACCCTACGCCACACAATACAGTGATTTATCTTTGGGAATGACGCCTAGAACTGCTGCTTAGGTAGGCAGCTCGCTAGGCTTTGGAACATTGCTGTCCATCCTCGCAGCGGTACGTACCTCTTGCATCTGTTTGCTGGCTAGGTCCCATTTTTTAATGCAGGAGTCTCTGGCAGCAGTGAACAGAGAGTCGCCCTGCGTGGCCACAGCCTCCAGCCCGTCCTGATGAGCTGGGTCAAAATGATGAGCGGCGCTGATGCTGCCTTGAGCTCCTTCCAGCACGTCAAACATCTGCAACACAAGAACATCAAGGCCTCAGGAATACAGCACAGGTCCTAAAAGCACAGCCAGTGTTGTATCTTGAGTTAATAAAGGTAACTCAGAGCCAAACGTTCATGCTGGTCATTTATTGGGACACCACCAAGACAATACACATCCAACTGGTAACACACCTGCTGGTCTTCTTCTTAGCCCCCTTATATACTGCACACACCATCAAGTGACACATCGCCCCCTACTGGACAACATTATTATGCTATATTACAGCCACAAGCATTTGCATGAGCAGTTAGCAAGGTCATGAAAAATGGTTGTCAAGTTGTTCTGGTACTGGAGACGCAGCACAACGTTGTATTTATTTGCCAGGGTACTGTAGTTAGTTGTGTAGTTTATTTCCTGAAAGGTTGTACTCGAGTATCCTAGTGTTTTAGACACATTATTAAAGATTAGTGTTTGTTTTGGATGGCTGTCAAGATGTTATGTAGTTTGTAAAACTAAATCTGTCAGTGTTGTTTTCATTCTCTCGTATCTAGACCTTTACGTTTTCGCGGCTGTAGCTCTCTGTTATTGGAACTGAGTGATTGACAGCAGTCCATTCGCGTTCTGTTCTAGCGCAGTGGGCCAATGAGAAGAGCTTGAAGGCGGGGCAAGCATTCACTGCAGCAAGTTGACATGTCGACTGTTTTAAACCATTCCTGTGCGCTGTGTTTGGCGTTTTTAGGTGCAAAGATGCTTAATGCATGAATGCCTCCTAATTCCGCGCACGTGTTGAACATTTTGCTGTGAAAACTGGTCGCACAACATCCATTTTATGCACTCCCACATATATATTGATGTTGCATAGATCAATTTTCAGGCGCATATGCGACCAAAACAATCGCAATTTCGAGCCCTGGCTCATATCCACAGCTATAAATGTACCGAAACCAAAGTGTTCCCAAACGCCAAACCCGCTGTTGGTTATAGGAGGATTACATTAACATTACTAGCCATTTTGTATGAAATGGTCTCGAATCATGAACGAATGGTCTCGTACCGAACGGTTTAATACGAATATATATATATATATATATATATATATACAGTTGAAAGCAGAGGGTTCTATGTGCGTTTGTAGCTGTTTTATGCAGGATTTTATCTAGCAGGATTGTTGATGTATAGACACACTAGTTAGCGAAGTGCGCCAATTTGTATTTCTATTTTTATTTAGTGTAAGTTTAGGAGGCTTTTTCATACTGTTATTTTCTTATTTAGTGGATTGGGGAGGAGATTAAGGGAATATTTTTATTATATTTATTTCTTTGATTTGCTAGCGCAACTTTTAGTTTCCTGTCCCGTTTGTCTTGGTTCTTTTCAACTTTATATTATTGTTTGTAAATATTGTAAATTACCCTGGGCGCAATAAATCTGTTGCGGTGCTAATTCGTTGTTTTGGGGTTCCTCTTGCCATCTTCATCATCAGTTTACACTTTGGTCAACTTTATGCTACTCCTTTTAATTCCCTAGACATATTGCCATCAAGGATCGTAACAATGCCTTCTTCAGCGTTCTTGTGTCCTCGTGTAACATCATCATCAACCACTAAAGCTCACTTCCAAAAATCAAGACCGCAAGAACGGAGGACGCGTGAAAGTTTTCCGCAAGTGTTTTTGATATCGAGGAAACGTCGATGCAGAGCTGAGAGCAAAACTTGATGTAATTAATTACTCTTCTTTATTCTGTTTTTACGAATTCTAGAAGTATCGGATCGGGTTTCGGTATCGGCTAAGGGTGTCACGATTTCGATTTTAAATCGAAATCGATCGAAATGTATGTTCAATTTCGATAATCGAATAAAAAAATTGAATCGTCGATGCTGCCATGCCCCCAATGTCACGTCAGCTTGGCTTGCCAAGCGGGAAAAACAGGCTTGTTGAAGTGCTTGTTAAACTGTGCAGACGCAGGAGACCCGTCGACAGGGCTTAAACTTTCAGGGCTCGACAATAAGGACTGCCCGATGGCCCGGGGCCAGCGTGCGAGACGCTCAGTTCAGTGTACAGTGCTGCCTTGTTGCCTGACAGATCGAGCCAGAGCTGCGTGCTGCGACTGTCTGTCAATTGTGTGCAAATACAATCTTACGGTGCTTTCACACATAGACGTTTGTTTCGGAATCTGTCTCGTTTCCCCTGTTAGCGCGGTTTGTTTGGCTGTTTGGTTTTGTTCCAGCAGTTGCGCTCGCATCCGCGCCAAATCAATCAGTCCAAGATCGCCTGAATGAGACGGTCTCTGCCCTATTAAGCGGATCGATTGTAGTGACAAAACAAAACAATTCAACGAACTAACGACGCAGGCTATATCACAGTGTATTATGATCGTGTAATCGGCTATATGAAGAGAGAATGATGAGCAGGGCGAGATGTCATTCTTAACGGTATATGCGAAAGTGAAAGCATGCTGAAATATTACCGAGAGCTGTTTATCCAGCCTGATCTCGGTTTATCCGTTAGGAAAATTGACTGAAGTTACTATCTGATCATTTGTTCATGTTTTAATCTTATAATATGTTGTGTTAGGCCAGTTGTTTTGTTCTTTCTTTCGAGCTGTCAGAGTGGAAATAATCAACATTGATCTGCTTCGCGATCTGATGCAGTCTCGGTATATCTGCTACGTCTCTCTATAATTCAAGCCTAAAATGTAGAATTCTAGCCAACGTTTCTTTAATAGATTGATTAGTTCAATAGATCGATTTTGGTAATTATGTCTGTAATTACCTTTATTCAATTACTGTATGATTTGTTTATGGGTAAAACAAAGACCATGCAGGTCAGGTAGTTTAAACGGTAGGCTACAAATAATTAATTCGCTATTAATTAATTAATTATTTATAATCGAAAATCAAATCGTGACTTAAGAATCGAAAATGTAATCGAATCGAGGATTTGGAGGATCGTGACACCCTTAGTATCGGCTAATACTCAAAATCAAATCACTCAGACTCAATGGCAAAAAAACCTGATCGGGACATAACTAGTGTTATGTGGTTGTCAAAGTGTTCTGAAATGTTCCCATTTTGAGAAGATAGCAACGAATTGATAATTGGTTGCCATTGTGTTGCTAGGCGGTCATTGTTTATTTTTTGTCAGGGTATATTTTCTTTAGGGTTGATAATAGTGGCTGCCCAAGTGTTGCGATGCCGTTACTTGCGTGTTCCGGTGCTGTAAGCACATTGAGATCGTATGTATTTGGCTTGGTGTTGATCAACGTGTTGCTAAGTGGTATATCAAACCTAAAAGCAAGTCTAGCAGAGCCCACAAGCATGTTTTTTTATCGCTTCTGCATCTACTGTTTGTGTTCAAGCAGCCATACAAACGCTGTGTAATTGCGCATGAGCTGTAACCGAAATGTGTAAATTACCATATGGAAATATGTGAGCACACCCCGAGGCTCCTATGTTAGAGCGTGTAAGGATGACTAAACATACCTTCACGGTGTGATCCTTTGAGCCTGTTATGACCACATCTTGACCCTTGCCCATCTGGTCTACTGTCAGACACATTACCGGGCCCAGATGGCCGGTCAGTTTCCCGGTGGACACAAACCTGTAGAGGACACGATGAAAACAATGTGAACATGGAGAACTAAGACTGCTAAGAGAGAACTTGTAGCCATAGTTAACTGGGTAACCCTTGTTGTGGCTTAGTCAAGGAGTATGTCGGCTTCTCTATTAGAGTTGGTTTTCAGATTAGTTTTTGTCCAGAAGGAGTTTGAAGAAAATCTAGCGGAGTAACAGTAAATCCAGTGTTTAGCTATAGCTACACAACCCTGAAGGTATTTTTTAATGGTTGCAATACAGAGTTGCCAAGTCTTGTGTATTAGCTTTAAGACACAACAACTGATTGTCTTCACACACTCTCACACCACAGGCCCGATCATATACCGGTGCAATGAGGCGCAAGTGTTTCAGGAAAGGAAGTGTTTTTAGATATAACTCACAGTTTTTTGACTGCTTTTGTTCATTGATTCATTTGGAAATTACTTTTGAATCAAATCTTAATACCGCTTAACAAACAGAATTATCAATGCCTTCAATGGAGTACGTCCACCACTGTTTCCCCAATCCAAGGTCAAAAGGAAGAAGCTTGTTCAGCAGATGGTCTTCAACCATTTTCTCGCAAGTGATGGGTTCAGTTTTTCCACGTACAAAAGACGTTTGGCCAGAGGAGAAATGGTCGTGCCCAGCTGAGCCTCGTTTCTCTCAAGGTTTTTTCCTTCACTTTGGTCAATTGGTGAAGTTTGTTCCTCCACTGTCGCCACTGGCTTGCTTGGTATTCCTTTCCTTTTCATAGATTTGCTCTTCAGTATTTGGACTTTCAGCAGTGAACTCAATATTGTCAAAGTGCCCATGCCAACCAATGAAATCAAAGAAGGCGGAGCTTTACCTTTCAGGGAAGCCAAGTTAACTCAAGTGAGATGCATCATTACAGTAAAATGGTGAGGTAAAATGATTGACTGATCCCCCACCCACTCCCTCCCCTAAACCCAACCAATAGTGTTTTCAAAAGCACCGACTGACCAATTGACCTAGTAAAAGGAACAGCGTCATACCGTCCCGTAGCGTTCATTTTAAAGACTAAATGCAGCCATACATTCTTCTCGCTACAAAATTCGCGATCTTCAGAAATGTATCTAGGACCATGGCTGCGTCCGAAACCGCCTACTACTCAGTAGGTACTGCATTTGAATTTAAACGTACTACTCGGCCGTTAGAAAAGTACGCTCTATACAGTATGAATGTGAAAAGTATGAATGGAATTCGGACGTACTACATCCGCCATTTTGTCATGGTCACGTGACCAACCTGCGTCAGTTGCGTCGCCTCACTTCCATTCATGAATTCTCTCACGGGGCATTATGGGATAGCGCAGCGTGCATGTGCACTTCAGAATCTCGCCGGAAGTAGTAAGTCATCCGGGTACTTCTCGCCTACTGATTTTCGAATTCTATGAATTCGGACATACTACTCGGCTCGCATACTGATTTTAGCGTACTATATAGTATGGAAGTATGCAGTTTCGGACGCAGCCCATGTTTCCTGAATGACGCTCAGTTGACAGTTAGCCACCAGCACTTACAACCAAGCTTGGTACATAGTTCAATATTTCAGTCGATAATGATGATCAATTGTAAAGACACAACAACTTTTATTGAGTTTTTGAGTTTGTTTACCCCTAAACATACACACAAACACACACACCAGTGACGATTCTCATTCAAAGCTGAACTAAAAAAGATGGCACTGATATTTAGCACCGAGAAGAAAATGAAGCAATACCTCCTCAAGTCCCACATCCTGACTGTGTTGCCTGACGCAGCGTAAAGGAATGTTCCAGAAGGATTGAGGGCGATCTGATTGATCTGGTTTTCTCCTGGTGGGATGGCTACAGCACTGCCCCCGCATGCGTCACCTTGAGACACCTGTCCAGAAGAACTAAAGGAGAGGCAGAGAGCTAAAACTGAGCAGCCGAAGGTCAAACGTCTGCAACCTCTCCAGGGAACACTGGCTCTTAATACATTTATTTATTATTTATTGTACCTATTTGTATGCACATTTTAGAATATCACATTAAAGAAGCTTGATTTAAATGATGCTTATATATTTGAATAAAAAATTAGACCCTATAAGAAAAACAATGTGCATAAATTATGATGGAAACACATTTACAGATCAAATTCCAGCTTGCACATCAAAAAAAAAGGCATGTGATTTAGTTTAATAGATTAAGGAATGACAGAAATGTCCAATAGGATGACAATAATGTACAAACCAGCGGACTAATCACATATTAAAGCATCTGAAATGTTGCTTTGGTCGTTCTAAAATCCCTCAGCCAAAGTCTGTCATCAAAGTGGTTTAGTGTATGCCTTATTCACACATGCTTTTTGCTGATTTTCCAGTTTAATTAGCATCTTTGGATGGAAACATAGCTAATAAGACACTAGCGGATTGACTCACGTGAGGGTGCGGATGCATTTGGCGGAGTCACGGATGTCCCACACTTTGACGTAAGCGGTGGAGACAGTGAAGACCAGGCTGGAGCAGTATCGGACAGACACCACACTGCTGGGGTGATCTCCAAGAGACATGATCTCCTGACCCGTAACCAGGTTCCACACCTTACACGTGCGGTCTGAGAGGAAAGAGAACACAAGCTGGGTGAGTCTGGATATAATTCAATGCTTATTTACTATTGCTGCAGGGCAAACATGTGAAACCTCACTCCAGGATAGCCACTGTCTTATGCTGCTTTCACACCGAACACGGAAGAAGCGGCATGCACGACTGATTTACAGGTTAAGTCAATGCAAAGGCGCGAGTAGATATCCTGCAGCACGATTTGCGTGAAGTGGGCACAAATGAGCAAGCTCCTGATTGGTTAACGTGAAGCGAATGTCCGCTAAATATCGGATTTTCTAAAGTTAATTGCGCAAAACACTCAACTCGATTGAAGCGCCTAATGCACGTTTCGGGCGAATTGCTCAATTTCGAAAATCTGAACTTTAGCGGACATTTCGCCACATTAACCAATCAGGAGTTTGCTCGTGTAGGGGCATGATTATGACGTAGCGCCTGTAGTTGGTGTCCCAGGGGGAAATCATTCAGCCGACACTGACATCAGTTTAACAAACTGGGCTCGGCTCAGTCAGAGGCACCGTTGAAAGCCTCCATCATCCAGGTATAGCTTCTAGAGGAGTTTAGTAACTCGCAGAGCTGGATGCACCACTGAAAAGATTTAATTGACTCAGACACGGCGCCGAACGAATCTACGCTGTTTTTCAGCCTTTATAAAGCACATAAACACAGCTACTCTCTCAATAAAATCAATGTTAGCCAATTAGCAATGAAGCTATAGTCACCGGGCAGACAGAAGCTCTGCTCATGAATCAAATCCACATCTGTTGTTCAGTGAATTTGACATGCGATTGAAGCGAGTAAACTCAAAATGTTCACGCATCTATTTACGCGCATTTATTCGCATTTGGTGTGAACACAGCAGTAGAGTTTAGCTCCAATGCTAATCAAACACACATGAATCAGATAATCATGAGAAAAGGATAGAGAAAAATGTGGGTAAGGCTAATGCTAATGAATAGCGGCCCTCACAAATTTCAAACACAACATTAAAAGTTGGCATATATGCAGCTAAGCTAACAGCATGATACATTAGACACGCAAGAGACTAAGAACTGAGCCCAAAAGTGTAGCATGCTACATTGTAAAACACACTAAGTTAAGGTAACTCAAACCATTGGAGGAAACCGATTGCTAAAAACCATTTAAGTTTAAAAGCTAATCCTAATGAGTACGGTGAACTTGATCCATTTGAGTAAATGAGGCAATTTGAGCACAGTAAAACCCAATAAATGAAGAGAAGTCAAACCATCTGAGCACTGTAAAACCCAAGACGTTAAGGCAACTCCATTTGAGTTAAAAACCAATGAGTAAGTTGAAGTAATGAGGTATTTAATTAACTCATCACCTTCAACACTGAGTTCAAAACTCATTTCACATGAGTAGAATAAACTTCCAGTCAATGTTGAGTTAACCACACTCATTTCATTTGATTAAGTTGACTGTTGGGTTTTACAGTGCACTTTTACAAGTAGCGAAATTGGACCCCTCCTGTTTGCCCTTTTGTAATTTCACCGTACTAGAGACCCGTTTATGATGCTAAATCTCCACATAAATACTCCTAAAGTTGATTCTCTGACCCTTTGAGCCGGTGAAGAGCAGATCATCGGTTGAGTCCAAGCACAGCAGGGGTTTCGTGTGACCCTCTGCCACGTGCACACACTGCAGTCTGGCGGCGCGACTGGAACGGGCTGCCAAAGCTGGGCTTGCCACACCTCTGAACCAAACACATAAAAACAACACAACATATTAAAGCGTGGAGCACTCAATCAAAGCAAAGCACTCTCGTTTGCAAACCCAAGTAAGCTCTATAGTTGGACAGCACTTTTGGGCGGTGTTGGGGGAAAGTTACTACAGAAAGTAGTGCATTACAATATTGAGTTACTCCCTCAAAACAAAAACAAGTTGTGTTGCTTAGTTACTTTTTTATGGAAAGTAATGTGTTATATTACTTTTGAGTTACTTTTATGTTACTTTTGCGTCCTGAACTGGATGAGGTTTGCTCTCTTTCAGAGCTTGCGAGTGTTTTTTTCACCTGTTTTATAAAGGAGCTCTGCATTTAACAGCACTTATATTACCCACATCTTCATTTTCCTTTAAAAACATGTAGGATAATATTATATTTTGAGAACTTTCTGAGCCCAGAGCTACACCTGCTGTATATACAGATTACTGACAGCATGTAAAGTGTTTGCTGCTGTTGAATGTCTTGTGTTGTTAGTTGAGTAAATTGGCCGTCCATTGAGGAGATAAAGACTGCAGTAAAGCCTAATAGGACTAACATGAAATTATTTATTAAGGCAAAAACTGAATTCAAACCTTTAAAATGTCTAATAACCAAATGAAGAGTAAGACAATAAAAAATACCCCCAAATCAAAGTAAATCTTTGAGCTTTTTACTTTGAATAAATGTCTTCACGTGGCCTTAACAAATGTGTCAATCCTTTCCTAAAACTCCCGATATATTTTTTTAAAAAGTGGCTCAAATAATATGACTTATTTTTAAAAGCAATGCATTATATTCCCTGTTACTTTGCAAATTTATTAAAAGTTTTGCAATATTATTATTAATATTTAAAACTATTAATATCTAAAATTAAAATGATTACTATTATTACGTAATGCGCGTTACTTTTATTGCGTTACCCCTAACACCGCTTTTGTGTATCATTTTTATGGTTCAGCAGATTTTCACCAGCCATTCATTTCAGCAGGAAAATGTGTTCAAACAGCCACAAAAGACCACCTACCGACCAAACCTGATCATTACTGGGTGTTTTGCAGCACATTACAAGTAATGCCGGTTACATACTTGGATTTATTTTGATTCTCTTGGCTCCATATTGAGAGAAATTATAATCTAATAAGGGTTATCAGCTAGCTCTCTGCAACTCACATGGTCGCCCGCTGAAGCTAAGCAGGGCTGCGCCCGGTCAGTACCTGGATGGGAGAGCACATGGGAAAGCTGGGTTGCTGCCGGAAGTGGTGTTAGTGAGGCCAGCAGGGGGCGCTCAACCTGCCGTCTGTGTGAGTCTTAACGCCCCAGTATCGTGAAGGGGACTCTATAGACTGATTTCACGCGGCCGCCATTTTCAAAAGCGAAATCGAGGCTGCTGTGGGAAGGAACCCGGAAGTATCATTGGGAGTTACATAGGAATGTTGTGTAACTCACTATATAGCTTATCAGCGACGATAAAGTGACACAAATTTATAATTTCTCTGCCTTCCGGGTGACCCGAGGGTCCGTTCTGAATGAATGGTGAATGTAAAAAGGGATATCAGAGCTCATTTTCAGCTAAGTTAAGGGAAATGGCACTAGTCAGCTAACGTTTTCTTTCCCAAACACACGTTTTAGATGCCATTCATCAAACTTGAGTTAATAAACTGATTCTTTCACTATATTAGACTCGTCACGATACTGAATTAAAAGAAAAACCGGCAATTTCGCGCTAACATTTAAGACAATGTTGATGGCTTTCTTGAAACAGCGCTGATTAGGGCATTAATAAGTCATTGCCCCAGTACAGGGTTGCAGCTGGAAGGGCATCCGCTGCGTAAAACATGTGTTGGATAAGTTGGCGGTTCATTCCGCTGTGGCGACCCCAGATTAATAAAGGGACTAAGCCGATTAGTTATTAGTCATTTATATAATTATCATCAGATTTTATTGATCATTAGTTAATGATTTAATTACCACTGATTATTGTTTGTCGTTTGATTATGTTTTTATAGTTTATTATTACTATTTTTCTATAATTATTGCTTCATTTATTATGTTATAATCTTAAAACTATGTGGATTCAAGTGACACTTGTTTTCAAGAGTAAGAGATAAGAGAATGTCTCCATTTCAGGGTCTGTGTTGTCTCTGGTCGATGTTGTGAAGCAGTAATCTTCCATTGCTGTTGCTTGTGGTATAATAACACTTGTTGGATTTGCCCTGGCAGTGAAACATCTTTCTTTATCATCGTGACTTCATCTCTTCTGCTCCTCTTCTCAGTCAACTCCTAGACTGATTGTTATTCAGTTGAATACCGGCTAACAGGTTTGGGTATTGGCTGGCTCTGCTGGCTTGCTGTCTGGATACCGGGACAAACAGACATCTTCTGAGAGGATCTGGCATCCTGAACTGCATTTTAAGATATCGACTTATGTCCAAATGTTTGTGATGTGTTGTTTGTGTGTGGGTGGAGATGCTGATTGATGGATTGCAGATCAAAAATATTAAATAGAAGTGTAATTATGTACTTATGAATGAGCGAAGGCGTTAATACCAGGTATGAGCGCAAACGGAGTGGGCAGCAGCACGGCAAGAGCCGCCACTCCCACTATAATGAGAGCAAACTGAACCATGGGAAGATTAAACCACAACTGGGTTCGAAACGGAGAAAGATGGAAGCTAATATTTGATGAATAATAATAGTACAATAAGAAGCTAGCTTTAGAGTCTCTGAACGGCCTCAGAACAGAAGAAAACTGGACATAATACTGCTGAAGTGCTGCTTTTTGGGCATAATAAAGGGAATCATAGGAGGCTGCTGAAGGATTCAGATGCATTTGGGACTTGGGTTGGGTATCGAAAATGACTTTAAGTAAGGTTTCTCATGAAACTCCACCGTGCCGCCCAGTTGTTATGTGTATGAGGGTGTTTCTTACGGTTTGTCCAGAGTTCTGGATCTGTCTGTGTGGTTCTGGCTCCGCTCCTGCATTCTTCTGCGGGTGAGAGGCGAGCGGTCCAGAGACTTTCTTTCAGTAGCTGTAGGAGATCTGGCGCTGGAGCTGCACAGCAGACAAAAGACTTAAAAAAAAAACTTCACCTCAGATTGGCTGGAATGTGTATTAGAATGTGTTTAACGTCAAATAAAGGAACGGCAGAGTTTTAGATGAACAAACCTCCTCCTTAAAACATTAGAGGTTAGGATGCCAGGCGAAAAATCTCAATCATTTAGCCTTGTCCTGCATATATCAGCTTGCACTCAAACATCCCCCCTTTCCCTAAACCCAACCGATAGTGTTTTCAGAAGCACACTAGAAACTAGTCTGGAAGCTTTTCCCAGGACTTCACACTGCTTTTTGTTCTGGAACTGTCTTTCGCTGGACTCAAACCACACTCTGCTATGCTGTACCAGGTGAGCTACTGAGCAAACTGACCCCTGCAGATAAGCTGTCCATTTGGAGGAAAAATGTTATTGCAATAAGGAACAGAAGTTGTCAGCAGTGCCATAATCGCTCCTTAGCATTTGTTTTAGAGGACGTAATCCAGGGCACGTGATTGTGGTTTGCAAAACAGACTAAAGTACTCTAAATCTGTCCAATGGACACTTACACAGCATTAATCTTGGTTACTGGCTCTCTGTCCCCTGAGTAGGGAGCAGGTGTCAGTTCTTTATTTCCCTCAGGACTCTCCACCACAGGCAGCAGAGGAGAAGAGAAATCCTCCGGAGGGGCATCGGGGTCTCCAGAGTGGGCATACAGCAGCTCCATCTGGGTGGTGGTTCTCCTGCGAGCCTGCATATGGTAAAACAAAGGGTTGAATTTAGTTGTAGTAATCTGTGATATGCTAATGTGTCTAGGGAAGAGGATTAGGGCCAAGCGTTAATATAATAATATGTGAATTAAACCATCTCGATATTCGGGCCATGTAATAATACATTTGTAATTTATACTAATTATAGATGTATACATCAACATTAGCTTAAGCACATGCAGATGATATGGATCTATACATGTCAAAAATTACATTAATCTTACTGTAAAATTCAGAATTTAAATTTTTTTTTTTCTCAAAATATAATGAGTTTAGTTTTTTCCTCAAAATTGTATGAGTTTATTCTCAACATCTTATTGCTACATTTATTCTGGAAATTGCAAGTTATTATTCTCAAAATTTGCTGAGTTTTTTTTTCTCAAAACATTTTTCTCAAAACTTCATCAGTTAAAATAAAATAAAAAATTATGACTTCATTTTAAAACATTTATGAGTTTATTCTTAACGTCTTTTTTTGACATTTTTCTTGATATTCTAAACTTTTTTTCTTAAAATAAACATATTATTTAAAATACAATGTTTTTTCTCAAAACGTAATAAGTTTATTCTTAACATTTTATTTTGACATTTGTTTTGAAATTTGAAGAGTTTTTCCTCAAAATAACCAAATGTTTTTTCAAAATGTGCTGTTTTTCTTAAAACAAAAATGTTTCTTCTCAAAATTATAAGTTTATTCTCAATATTTTATTTTGACATTTTTCTTAAAATTGCAAGTTTCAAAGACATTATTCTCAAAAAAGATTTTTCTAAAAACTTAACGAGTTATTCTCAACATTGTATTTCAATATTTTATCTAAAAAATTTTTCTCAAAAAATTAGGACTTCATTCTCAACATTTTATTTTTGCATTTTTCTTGAAATTAACTTTTTTTCTCAAAATGTTTTTTTCTAAAAAATTATTAGTTTATTCTCAACAATTTATTTTGACATTTTTCTTGAAATTTAAAGTTTTTTTTTCAAAACAACCACATTATTTTCAAAATGTGATGTTTTTCTCAAAAATTATTAGTTCATTTTCAAAATAGTTTTTGACATTTGTTTTTTAAATTTAAAGTTTTTTTTCTTAAAATAATGATATTATTTTCAAAAGTTTTTTTCTCATAAAAACAATTTTTTTCCCAATGTATAATGAGTTTAATCTCAATATTTTATTTATACATTTTTCTGAAAACAATGTTTATTCTCCAAATTTATTTTGAAAATGTTCTCTAAATGTAACGTCAACATTAAACGTTGTGACTTTATTCTCAAAAATGTATGAGTTTATTCTCAACATTACATTTGAAAGTTTTCCTTGAAATTTAAAGAGTTTTTTTAAACAACATTATTATAAAACTTTGTTAAATTTTTTAAATTATTTTTTCCCCTTCATTTTATCTAGAGTTTAATCTCACATTATAATGACCTAATTTTTTTTTTGAGGTAAATAAATAGAAAAGGTTTAATTAAAAACATAATTTTATTATAAAACGTCAATTTTACAGACCGCAGACTATATAATGTTTAGTTGTATAATAGAGCAGTGTTTTTTAAGCACATCCCTGGAGGAACACCAGCACTGGTTTGGATGTCTCCTTTGGCTATCACACCCATTACAGGTCATTTAATCTCTGCTAATGAGCTAATGAACTGAATCAGGTGCATTTGGTTAAATAGACATGGCAAATTTTTAGAGCTGGTGGTCCTTCAGGAACATGGCTGAGAAGCACTGTAATAGAGAACAAACTGGAAAAATGTATGTATGTCGTGCATACATGTGGGTATTTATATTATATTGTTATTTGTTTACTTTTTACCTTATTTCTGGCTTTGGTCTCTCCACAAAGCTTCATTAGATCTGATGCCAAACAACTGCAAGTGACAAAAACATCCTTCAGTTAGAAATAATAAATAAATAAATAAATAAATACATAAATAAACAAAAAATAAATGTTATAAAATTCAATAAAAATTAAATAAAATATATATGAGTAAATAAATAAATGAACTAATGAATGAATAAATATACATTACAAAACCAAATAAAAATAAAATACAAGTGAATAAATGCATCAATAAATAAATAAATTAAAAAAATTAAATATAAATAAATAAATAAATATTATAAAACCAAATAAAAAATTTATAAATTAAATAAATTAATTAAATAAACAAAAAGATTAATCAAAATAAATAATTAAATAAAATAAATAAAAAAATAAACAAAAAAAATTAAATAAATAAACAAAAAATAATTCAATAAATAAATGAAAATAAATAAAATAAATAAAATAAAATAAATAAACAAACAAATAAAATAAATGAAGTACAATAAATAAATAAATAAAATAAATAAAATAAATAAAATAAATAAAACAAATAAATAAACAAAATAAATAAATAAATATATTTTTTAAATAAATAAATAAACAAACTACATGATGAAAGGCAGATTATACTGTCCGCCACTAAATGACTCCCTCAGATCATCAGTGGATCAGCCTGATCATGAAAGGATTTGAAAGCTCATTTACAGTTCAGTTCATCTGTTTAATGACCTGACAGAAGAGATTTACCATTTCTCTGCTCCTGGACTTTGAGCGGATTCATCACTGCTGCTTTCATCACCGTTTTCTGAACAAATAAACCCACACACAGACACAGACATAGACACACACACACACAATGAGAGAGAGAGAAAGCGAGTTCAGCATCAGAAAGTCCATCTCTCTCTCACTGCAAGTATGATGAAGATTATGGGGAATATGAATATAGTTTTCCTCAAGCCACATGCATCTGAACTGAACAGAACAACAGGAGCTTCAGTCTACAGCAGACAGAGGGTTTAATAAGGGGGTTTACAAGGGGGTTTATAAGGGCTCATTATGTAGAGGAAGGGAAACTAGTACATCAATGTACACTGTGCTTTTACCATTTGAAAGCTGCTCATTTAAAACTAATGCTGTTTATTTATTTATTTATTGAAAGAAGCTGTCAATGACGTGAATATGTCAAAGCCTGCATTTTCTGCTATTTGTTTACTTGGGTAGAGCTAACTTTTCTTATTGACATGCTGTTAAATCAAAAGAAAAGTGGTTAAGCTAGAACTACAGTAGGTGAGAGTTCAAAGTGGCTATTAACGCCGCGGCTGGTACCGCCGCCGTTTGAAATAGGTGCCGCTCTGTTTTTAGTGTATGACCGCAGTTTGTGAATGAGCCGCCAGGGGGCGCAAAGGGACGGGATGCGAACGGACAGAAATAGCCCATACAGCTACTGTGCTTGTAAATGATATTAAACAATAAGTCAAAGCATTATAATTCCTTCATTAATCATTTAAAATTTGTTAACACGCTTTATTGTAAACTTTTTAAGTGCAAAGAGGATTCGTTTTGGAAAATAGAATTGAAGAAGTAAAAGACAACTAAAATGAAAGCACAAACATTTAGTACAAATAAGTAGTCTTAAATAAATAAATTAATTAATTAATAAATAAATAAATAAATAAAGCAGCCTAAATATAGAAAGATGTTAGGTGTTTGCTATTTTGATAGGACCAAGACAAGACATTTTCATTTATGTTTCATTTCTGTTTTTATTTCCATTTTCGTTGTTGATTATATTTTACTATCTCATTTATGTCTCAACAATTGTACATAAACGAATAATGAAAATAAATGAATAATGAAAATAGGCCTAAATAAATTATTTATTTAAAGACATTGCCGTACAGTACGTGAAACACTGAGAAAAATAAATTGACCTACCTTAAGCAGATCACTAAAAGTGTAATAAAAATATTTTTGCCGCAGGACATAAATTAAGTCTTGCAGGTTTATTTTTAATAATTTAGTTTCAGTTCTGTTCAGTTTTTTTTTTCAAAACGTCAATTTTCTCCTTTTAAAGTAGCTATAACTGTTTTTTTTTTTTTTTTTTACTTATGGCTCAGTATGTTTTGTATTTTAACTTCATATTCAGTCACCTTGCAAATGTGTGTGAAATATAATGCCGCATAACCGCGGAAAAAGAAGAAAAAGCTGTCAAAGGTTAGAGCTAATTCATCAAAATAAGCTATATTAAAATACAGCATTTATGTTAATACAGGCAGAGTGTGAACAAACTCAAGGCTAAGATATGCGCTTGCCTTTTAATGCATTTGCGGCCTTTAGGCTACAGGCACACATTATGTTATTGATGTAAACTTAGGCTAAAACTTACCATTGATAAACGTGACCTACCTCAAGCAGATCACTTAAAGTATAAAAAAAATAAAGTAGGCTATATATATATATATTTTCTTAATAAACTTCACAGCCACAAATATAAAAAACACAACTTGTATTAAAACTGGGCGAGGATAAGAAAGAATACGATGCTTGTTATATAATTTAAATTTTGATTCCAATTTCTGCAAGCACATTTTTTCACTCGCTACTCTGCCAGAAACTTCGCCGCCGGAGAGCACCTCAATAATGTAAACATTTGTTTAAAGATGGAGCGCAAGATGTGCCGAGTGGCAACATGTGAAGAAACTAAGTTATAAAGCAGAGTCCCGACCAACAGGACTAAGCATATGCGGTTGGCTCATTCTTCACGAATATAGAATTAAAATAATGGCGCGTTAGGTTCACTAAGCAGCGCATTCTCTCCGCCTCATCGTTTAACCAGCGGGACACGGTGCTGAAGCAGGAGAGACACTCCGTCATTCATAATCTTAGCTGATGTATCGGAGTCGAAAGAATATATCAAAAAGGAATTTTCTTTTAACAGTCCCGATATGTTTAATCTTTTTATTATTTTTTTTCGTGTCATTTCTCTTCAGCAAATTAGATATTTTTTAAAGCTGCTTGATTCTTTTAAAACCGAAAGCAGAGCCCGTGGTGTTTTTCCATAAGATAGCCTACTCCTTTATGAATGTTTTAATTTTTTATTAAAGTCTTTAATGTGCTTTTTGATAGTTTTATTTCATTTCAAGCAGCATCTAAATGCGAATTTATCCTCAAAACTTGGCATGAGAGCGATGCAAGTCATGTGTGGCATAATTGCCTTTTTTCCCTGCGCGTGCGAGATCAATTTCTGATCTTTTTGCAACTAAAATGAAAGCATAAACATTCAGTACAAATAAGTAGTCTTAAATAAATAAATAAATAAATAAATAAATAAATAAATAAATAAATAAATAAATAAAGCAGTCTTTTAACCTAAATATAGAGAGATGTTCAGTGTTTGCTATTTTGACAGGACTAAGACAAGACATTTTCATTTATGTTTTTATTTCTGTTTTTACTTACATTTTCGTTGTTGATTATAGTTTACTATCTCATTTTATGTCTCAACAATTGTAGATAATAATAAACGAATAATGAAAATTAATGAATAATGAAAATAGGCCTAGATATATTATTTATTTAAAGACATTGCCGACATTGAGCTTAAGTTGAATGCAGCTTCATCAAAAGTAAAAATAAATAAATAAATTGACCTATTTTAAGCAGATTATAATAAAAATATTTTTGCGCAGGACATAAATTAAGTCTAGCAGGTTTATTTTTTAAATAATTTAGTTTCAGTTCAGTTTTTTTTTTCAAAACGCCAATGTTCTCCTTTAAAGTAGCTATAACTGTTGTTTTGTTTTGTTTTTTTTACTTAATGGCTCAGTATGTTTTGTATTTGAATTTCAATTTCAGTCACCTTGCATATGCGTGTGAAATATAATGCAAGCATAACCGCTGAAAAAGAAGAAAAAGCTGTCAGTTAGAGCTAATTCATCAAAATAAGCTATATTAAATTACAGCATGCATGTTAATACAGGCAGAGTGTGAACAAACTCAAGGTACGGCTAATATGCGCTTGCTTTTTAATGCATTTAAAAAGATTTGCGGCCATTTTATAGGCTACAGGCTATGGTGTACAACAATGTTTTTTTTTTTTTTTTTGTATGGTAAAGGACAATGCACATTGATTTGAAACTTTTAATTGCATTTTTATGTCCTGTAAATAATAAAAGTTGAATCAGATTAATAAAATCGAATCTGAATACCTGCAAACGGGGCCACAGTTACTTTTTTTTCACTGACTGGCATGACTGGCAAACGCGTCAGAAAAAAAACTGCTGAATCTCTGCAAATATTTGGTTAACTTATAAAACAAATTTATGGTTTAGTGATGTTAGTAATGCATAGAAAAATGCAAAGCAGAATTATTAAAGTTATTATTTCATTGATCTGAACATAACCATTTATAATATAATTACTAACCCGTCGTCTAAAATATTAAAATAATAAAATATTCTATTATTTTATTCGTGGCTAGAGCTTGATTAAATTGATTAACAAGCCATGTGCTTTTGTTTGTTTGTTCTCGGTACTGGGTATACGCAAAACATTTTCTAAAATGTCAAGCAGTATTTGTCTATAGCTTTAATTAATTCAAAATATTAAAAACAACAATAATAAAATTATAAAAATACAAAGATAAATAGAGCAGCATTTTGCTAATTATAATAGTCCTTTATATTTATATACATGTGTTTTTGCATATTCGTTATTTCACTTGATGCATTCGTTATTTAATGTTTGAATACTGAAATAAAAAGCCATCGTTTAAAAGGTTATTTCACCATCAAAATGTAGCCTGTTATATGTATCATTAACGTTTTATATAAAACTGATGTGCAGTGTAAATGGGACTTAATACAGTTTAAAGCGAAGTTGTCTGTAAGGATGATGGGCATGGCATGTCTATTGTTGTGGCTCGCGTTGTGAATATTAGAAAATAACTGTCGGGTGAAGGCTTTATGGTCGTGCGGAATTGTCTGCTGCTGTCATGGCTCAGCAGGCAACACCCTATTCAGTAGGCTATGTTCGGTGTTTTTATGTACAAATTCGTTTTGGCGAATGCTAGAGCGTAATAGAGATATTTTAAATAACAAGTATAGTTCAGTCCAGAAGTTGCTGTGCATAGAAAACATTCATTTTCATAAGGCCCCATTTGCGGTTTGGTTTTAAAACGCATAGGTTTTGCTACGGTTACGCCATCCGTCTTCGGGAGTTTTGGATTTTGTGTAACCATGTTTGTGGAAAACACTTGAGGGTGGAGACATACCCCTTCCCCCATCTCATAACCAAAAGCTTGTCTTTCAGGTGTTAATGGGCATCGAGACCGAAGTCATGTCGCATTTCCACTGTCGGCCTATAGCTCGCAGCGCGTAACGCAAACCCAGCCCCCAGAACGTCCCCCGAGTGTTGGCATCGTGCATCCGTTAATAACTCGGTAGAAAATGTATTTTATAACATCCTCATTTAGACACAGTCAAACATTCAGCCCAAATGCACTGGAGAGACCTGAAACGTGTTCCCAAAAATGCTCTGTTTGCACGATTTGATTATTATCATCATATCCAAATACTTTATAAATAATATTCTTAACCTTCTCTGGTGTTTATTGTTTTTAGAAAATATCTAAAATCTTTTAAAAGAAAATATCTTGTAAAATAAAAGTTTGATTTGGCTTTAACGGTTTTATTTATGTATAGGCCTACCTAAACTGTTATAGCTTGCTTTTGCTTGTTTTATATTGGTTTATTTATTTAATGCGATTTTATTATATCCGATAATGTAATTCTTTAAATTATATTTCAATGTGGCTTAGGCTTATCAAGATATGACACTTGTTTTGAGTCTACAAAAGGTAATTTGTAAAGCTGTTATGTCTTTCTGTTGTATTCATAAAGTGTATTATCTGCAAAATAAATAACAAAAAGAAAGAAGCCGCTAGCAGCATCCACAGAGCTGTGAAGAGAGCGCTCTTTTGCTCGGTCTCTCACACACAACCTTTATGTCTGCTGTGTCTTTAATATGGTGTGTAGATTATTATGCGTTATTGAAACATCAAGGGGGACGCAGCAAAATCACTTATAAATTAAAATTGTATTATTCTATGCAACAGCCTTACATTTAAAACGGAAACATAAGGGCGATTTTAAGCAAAAAGACCTCAGCCTATAAGTCTAGATGTTTTCTTTTCCTTTTTATTTATTTGTTTATTTGTTTGGCGCATGTGTGCGATAGGAAAACTATAGTGTAATTACGGCAAGCCATCTTTCCCAGACTCGGGGCAAATTCCTTTCACTCCGTCCCGAAGCCCCAGCTGGCCCTCCTGCCATCCACTGCGTAAAACATATGCTGGATAAGTTGACGGTTCATTCCGCTGTGGCGATCACAGACTAATAAAGGGACTAAACCGAAAAGAAAATGAATGAAGAATGAATGAATAAATTAAAAATAATAAAATAAAAATAAGGTAATAATAAACACAAATGTAATGTAAGTGGCCTTTTTTTTAGAGATGGTACATTTGAATTGCCTCTTCCCCTTCCCCCACCTCGAAATTGAAAGTTGCAAAGAGAACTATAGCTCATTTACACCTTGATGTAGCCTCAATAGCAAAGATCATAGCCCATTTACACATCAACACAGTGCAAGTTTAGCGGAAGAATGTCAAATCAGAATCACGCAGATGAAGCACACCAGCTACTACTATGAAACTATTAAAATTGTTTTGTCATAAATTTGCTTATTTGAAGCAGCTTTTTTTCGCGCAACAGAAATGCGGCGTTGGGAAGCCGTCAATGAATAAAAACAGGGTCAATAGTGAAATCGGCTTTTCATTGTATCCCTATTACCTATTTCAGTGCATTGAAGGCCTTTTATGGTGTCATCTCGATAGAATAGCCTAAGTTATAAATAATTTAAAGAGCAAAGTTATAAAAACTCACATTACATAAATAAACAATTAAAAATATGTTTAGGTTGTCTATTTAATTGCCCTCGTGATGATGGTGTGCTTTATCATTATGTGCGTTTTACTTATAACTAACCTGATTCAAATGATGGATCTGCGACAGAGAAACTAGGGGTTTTAGGGGACATGCATCACTATATCCTTTTTTTTCCCCAAACTGTGCATAGTTCAGCTGCAAGTTACTGTAAGTCTTTTTTTGGAAAAGCACCCCATGTCCGCTAGTGCCGCGCGCCTCTTTCTCTGGGCAAAAATGAGTTGATTTTTAAAATAATAAATAGAAAGAGACATTTATTTCATATTTCACTATGCATTTCATCTGATCTTTATAGCTTAATTAAACACATATTGTCAAAACCCACACATGGGCCTATTGTATGAAAATGAAAAGGGCATTTTTTGTTGTTATTATTAGACTACTATTTATTTGTTGCCTAGGCTATTTTCACATTTGAGGTGCTTTATTGGCATGACAAGTAACTGTACATTCGTTTTGACAAAGCAGTGCGCGTCTCACAAACAAGACAGTGCAAAAAGGGCAGTAGTGCAAACAAATATGAAAATAACATATAATAAAAAATGATTAATAAAAATAAAAATAGAATAAAAAATAAAAATATAATAATAAAAATAAAAATAGATTTTTGATAACATTAAACAGGATAAAGGTATTAATAGTAGCCTATTATCAAAAGTAAGTCCACATAAAGAGTTCCAGTATTTTGTGTTGAAGACAGGAGCGGGTATTGTTGGGTGAACACACAGCAGCACACACACTCCCCCAGTAAGATGGGTTCTGTTCGACAGGGACTCAAAGTTGTTTTGTATGTGTTGGATTATCGGGTAGAATTTCTCCCGGATCTCGGAGTATTTAGTGCACTCAGTTAGGATATGCAGCTCCGTCTCAATCAGCTGCTGAGGGCACAGCCGCTTCTCCACCGGCAGCCATGTTTTTTTTTTGTGCCGGCCCGTCTTTACGGCTGGCTGATGTCCGCTGCCCGCTTCTAACATGTTAGAAAATACTGCAAATCAAGCTGTCGGTATC